AATTTTGATAAGATATTTACATGAAGCCATGATAGAGTCTCCAAAGCGTTGAAGAAAGTATTGATGACAACGAATTAAAATAAAGAGTAGATCTACCTAATTAAATTAATCCCATGTCGTTACGCTCCAGAATAAATTTAGATCACCAGAGATTTCACAAGAAACATCTGTTCATTGAAGTTAAAAAACGAATATACGTTATATTGGCCGCGAATGAGGACCCACAACTTAACATTAATAACCTCTGCAATTTCAAGAGGTGAAGAAATGAGGTGTTGCTTTATCGAATATTTTGTTGTGCTAGAACTAGCCTACTCTTTCTTCACGTTTCATAGATGAAGAGGTCATGTTCTGTACAATTACGAGTGATGGCATCGGAACAAAGACAATAAGGAAAACGGTGTTTTCACCAAATAGCAACTAAAAATCGGAATTCCATTTTGCAGCAAATGGAATAAAAATAGAAAGTAAGGAAAAACCTCAGAAATAAAGTAGGATTAAAAAGTAATAAATACTGGTTTCCTTTTAAATAGTCTTTACTTCGCTTAATAATGGAAATTTGGATAGTTAGGCACAGAACATACAAAAGCATATCAACATATCCATATTGATCCATTATAATTATTTTTAATAATAAGCTGTTTGTATGAATTGTTAGATAAAAAAAGTAAATTAAGTCGGGGTTCTTGGTCGACCTGAACTATAACTAGCTAGTGTATAACTAGTGAGTATACACTTGTAAGTAATTATAATGAATAAGAACGACAATACGGATCTGTTAAGGTAGACTTACCTTAGAGGCAGATAGTATAATCCTGGACAACGTGTCAAGCCAAGAATCGGTGGCGATGGCGTCATTTTGGGTACGCCTAGGGTCGATAAGCTCATCTAAGCCAGCCGCAGCTGAAGGCCACATAAAATGATTAACTAGGGAAGCATCTACATTTCTATTGAAAGAGGCGAAGTAAGGGTTAGTTGCCATTGGGGTTCCAGAAGCAAGAGCACCTGTTCGTCTGCCTAGGGCGAGTAGGGGCCAAAATCCGTGGAATGCTGAGGAGCGCTGTCGATGAAGTGCCAAGCTGGCAGCAGAATCCAAACCATGGCCGACGCGATCAGGTACAGGCAGATAGCCACCACACACTAGGCCGCCAACCCAATGGAGCAAAAGGAAACGATTCCTTAAGCGGATTCTGGCTTGTAGACGGACATGGCCAAGGGAAGTGAGAAGATCAGGGGGTAGTGGCGAGTATTTAACTGTGTTTGAAGGGGAAGAAGGGCAGGTATCAGAGGTCTGTCCAAAATCTTGTAGACTTATTGAATCAGAAGCTGCAAAATCATCCAGGCCATGTTCCGTTTTGGCAGCGCAGGAAACATGGCTTGCTGTGAGAGGAGGCTCTGAATGGCATTTCGAGAAGGAGCATGTAGTAGTATTCTCGTTTGTCGTCTGAGTATCAGTTAGGCCGAGGGTGGCTGCCCTCCAGAGGGAGGCAAATTGAGTAGGAGGGTCTCGAGCTGGGAGTGGCCAAATACTGCTGGCCTGATGAGACTTTGACTGACTCCCGAGTGTGAAATTCGAATTGGCAGAGTAGGCATCAATGGCCCAGGCAAATGAGTGTGCCGAACCGCAGGCCACTAGGATGACTTGTCGAGAGTGCAGATGCTTTACTAAACGGGGCTGACTTATTGCAGTAGTAGAACCATTGCCAAGTTGGCCCTCATCGTTATCACCCCAGGAGAATACTTCCCCTTATGGTATAGAGAGGGAAAAGTGGGGTTTTTTGAGATGGAAATATTACTAAATAGGAACAATAATATAGTTGGATTATAACAGAAAAAAAAATAAATGGAGGAAAAATATTTGCCAAGAATGAGATTGGAAGGGTTCAAATAGAAACCACTAATGAAGGGATAGGATAACGCTAGAAGCCTCGAAAAGATAAATTAAAATACTTGTGACAGTCTTCATGTGACGTTGGAGGGACCAAATAAAATCGTGGGGCTTTTAACGTCAAGAATATACCTTTAGTAACGATAATGGGACAGAATGATAAAATTTGATAATAAGCTTGGAAGAATAAAACTGTAAAGAGGATCAGCAGTGAATCACTTTAATAGGCCCCTATACTATATCAACATTTTAGATAAGAAACTAGTTTGCCGCGATAATTTCTGAGTGATAAAATAAAAATGTATAAGCGTGTATTTTGTAGTATCCATTCAGCTTTGTTATATTCCACAGATATCAAACAAAGGTAGATGTTTATAAGGGAAGATAATTAAAGTAAATTATAGAAATAGTCTAATTGGATTAAATAAGAAAAGGAATAAATCAAACTCAAAGTTGGGAACAGATCATGTATTGGAGAGTCATATGCAAAAATTGATGAGTTCGTAAGTCTTATCGTCACTGCCTATAATTCAGCAAGTAGTAAGGCATGCTATTGTTTTCCACAATTTAAAATAGATTCTTTGTATCAGGTAGCAAAAATTAACAAGATAATTTATCTTCTTAATATGCCCTAAAAGCATCCTATTTTCCTTAACTCCAAAAATATGCGTACTGGTTAGCGAATACATACACGTCTCTTAAAGGGGAGATAGATGATAACCTGAAAACTTGGCAAAAGTCATTTATGAATGCTTAAATGACTCTTTTGCAGGATGGGTAGCTAAACACAATAGTTTAGTCTAAGCAATGCCTTTATTATATGAATTCTATCTTACTAACAAACGACGCTTTATGCAAGTAACTGATCGTTTACGCAAACTAGGTGACGAAGCCCTACTCAAAAAATCTACTTTCATTAAACAGGTCTTGCTGGAAAATCGCGGTCATGAAGTATTCATTTAGAAGAATAGTCAGCCTGCAATAAAAAAGAAGTGAACTTCAGTTAGAAATAAACTAATTGTGACATGACTTTCTAGTTCGAAGGAAAAGTTGGTTGGAAGGAATTGGTGGTGTGGTCTCATCGGAAACAGGAGGATTGTTGCGTATGGAAGAGTATTATATTGTGCCACCGTCCAGCGACCCTGATGAACCTATTACAGCCACCATCACAGAGAAGAATCCATACTAGACGAAATAGAGCAAAACTATACTATTCTCTTGGTTTTGTATAGGCTTGCTCTATTTCGTAAAGTATGAATTCTTGCTCTTATGAGGTCTGTCACAGTATAAACGAAAGCTTAGTGCAGGTTCATTGGGGTCGCAGGATGGTGAGCCGAGGACTTCTTCGCGCAAAACAACTTTCTTCTCCAAACGACAATCCTCCTTCGGTATCCGGTG